ACATTATGTAATTAAACAGGTATCGAACGTTGCGTAATTGGTAGCTATCGATATGACATGCGTCAGTAATTCTCAAACAGGTCGTATCATATCTGTGCTAACTTGATTAGGTCTCACACAAGCGATTGTTTAAAACTTACGCAAAATAGTTAGGAAATTTCCCAATAGTCGTGGTACAGATACTACTTTAGACGTGACTTTATTGAACAGTCTGATTATACACCAATGAAATATCAAGTTTATTGGTAACACTATTTACGTTATTAAAACATCCAGATGCAAAACATTATGTTTGCAATACATTTGTTGCAGGAAAAATGACATCTAATTTTTTTTTTTAATTCGAACGAGCCCAATGCTTCCTTATATTATTTTCCATTGTTATTGTTATATATCAAAAACTAGAACTTTACGACTCAAAAATAACTAGTGTGTATAGGTTCAATTTTCCAGGGTCAAACAGAAAACACAAAACATTGAATCCTATTTTTCATATACATACATATGTTAATCACAATTCTTTATGTGTCATCATTGATTCTATCAATCTTCCATAGTACTTTTATTTTCGTAAATCGATACTTCTTGCAACTTCTTATAGTATTACATTTTGTAATGACAATCTGACATCATATTTATTATTTTCAAGCGATGAAAACACGGATTTTGAACTAATATTGCTAGCGCCAGGTAATATATTTGTTATGAGTGACCCAAACCACGGAGATGTTCAAAAGGTGGGATCAGCCAGTTGCGATGCGTCGCGTGTCCGATCTAAATCACTTTTCACTGGCACGCTTCGCGTAGTCTACGCGCCGGGGTGCTTTCCTCCGTTGCTTTCCATTTCAGAGAGAAAAGCGCTCTGGATTCCCGCCGACGTGCTCACAATTTTCTTCGCTTCCGGCGTTCTTCTCGCCTCTCTAATTATCCACCGTCGGCTTACTTTGTGCCGTTTGTAATTTATGTCTCACTTCGCGGGAAGCCTTTTCCTGTCGTCGTCTGTTTTTCATTTTACTTTCTGTCGCGGAAAGAGATACGCTGAATCGCTTGAATTCGTTTCCCCCCCATACAACATAAAGTATCGGAAGTAATAAAGATAAAATTAATTTTCTTTTTGTATTCGTCAACGAAATGAAATACTTTCTGTGATTTTCGGCCAATTATCGACAAAAGACGAACGTAAAATAATATATTTCAATAAATTCAATTAGCCTTCTATTCGTTTCTACGGATCGAACAAATATGCGATCACTGATAGCCATTTTTCGATGAAAGCTATTCATCATTCGATTTCTATGAAGTTGTTGCATATCATTATTCAAACTTTCATCTTTCGAGCGATTAACAATCGCTATAATCGTTACTACGTATGACTTTATTCGTGTTCTTAGTTAAAAAGCCATTAGTTATGCTTGTGCAAAACAGTGTGATCCGTGTTCTACTTTATTCGTAGTCTGAATACTAGATGATGTCGACGAAGGAAAAAATGGGCATTGCAAAAATGTTTTCTACAACATGTGTGTCGAGCATTCCGATAGAGAAAATCGTGAAACGTGTGTAATGTCAAAATAGAACTGTTTTTCCAGTACACGGGCTATTGCGGTTTCATTTATAGTTATTGGCGGGTAATTTCATGGAACGCTACGATCCGTAATCGGTTTCTGATAAGTCGGAACAGGTTTCAGCCGATAAGATTTCGTCAAGATATACGAAATATCACTTCCTGCCATGCATCGTTCGATAATTATGGCCTGTGTCGATCTCGTTCTCTCTCGCGGTGTCACACACGCTTCGATGATTAATCAAATTCTGATAACATATGCTAAACGTATCAAATTTCAACTCTTTCTAAATTTTATTACAGACGTCGATGATTTCCCCTAAAAATTTAGTCGATTATCCGAACTGAGAACGATTTCTCTCGAAAGTATTCGTATATGGAAACTCTTTTTGTACGATCTTTGCTAGTATATTTTCACATGTAGCAATCAAACGTCTATAATTACCATTTTGCTTTACTTACTCGTAATAGAGATTCAACTGTAATTACATTTATTGCATTCTACACCTCCTTCTTACGTACGTCTTTCTCATTCACACACGTATCTAATTGCTCATCTAGGGACGAGCGTAAGGAAGTAATTTCATCCTCTCGTATCACAAATATCCATTGTTTACAAATTAAAATTTTTTACACGCGATAAGACGAGAATAAAAAAACCATGCACATAGGTACACACGACAATAAACTGAAGATTGAATTAACTTCAGTTTTATACGAACACTATTAATCCGGTTGAATCTCATTGAAGAAGTTTGGGAACCCCTGTACTGGAGTATTGCGTTAGTTTTCACATAATATTTTAATCCGCGTGCCAATCGTGATTAATTCTCGGAACGGTTACAGGGAGTTACGTTTTCACGTAGTCGTCGACAGCTGACGATTATAATCGATCGTAAATCATAGTCAAGCGTCGAAAGATGGGGGATTAGAGAAGCTACTGAAACCGATTCGTAGGTCTAAGCCTAAATCAAAGATAGTTCCTCGATCTTCTCTTTCGATGAGTCGACAAATATATTTCACACGATTCCTAATCTAGATTCGGGGATAGACATCGGTAAATATGAAAACGAACGCCCATTATGACGAATCGAAGTCTATTTTCGAATTAAAAAAAAAAGAGAAGAAGAGAAAGGAGAAATCGATGACCAGATCGAACAGCGTAGTAAAAATTTTTACCAGACTCGAGAGGTCTGGTAAGTATGCGAACTACTTGAATAAATCTCGTTAGTCGTCGCGTTATTCGGCTCCTTTCGAAACTTTCAGGCATATGTACATATTACATAGGTTTATGAAGCAAATGATTTTTCATCGGCCAATAAATGGTACCTGTCCGTTGATATTTATAGGCATATCGAGCAGAACTACGGTAATCGACCGTTTCGATGTCGAGCCTCTAAAACAGCTGCAGGACAAAGTTTCAGCAATCCTGTAGCAATGTTAGAAAGGAAAATGGCAAGCACCGATCGATCGGAAATTCGACGAATCGTATCTCATTGTCAAGGTGCGCGACTGTTGTTATCAAAACACGTTTTGCGGAAAGAGAATGCACAAAGAGTACCGCAATTAATGCTGCTGCCGATAAGAAAATGTTTGTATTTGAAGATATGTCGAAAATATCGCGTACATCTTTTCCTGTTCAGTGTATCTCGATTTGGAGAAAAAAATAATTTCAAAATTAGTAAAATTCAGTACCTATGAGTATGAAACCCCTATATGCAAAGGTATAACTGCGGGAATACAGCCTGTTATTGACGATTTTTGAAGAACGAAATTACTGGATGTTTCCTCGGTGCCTGTGGTCAAAAGAATAACGAAAATTACAGCTCACTTGCACGGATGATAGCATCGTTGAGTGCTTTCAAGTGGACTACAAATCGTTAAAACAGCTATAGATATTATCGCATGTGCTCTCGATGATAGTGCTCTTACATTACTCTGTATAACGAGGGCTACGGACGTTGGAGGCTTATCAATATTGCGAGAATCACGATATGCCCATCGTGTGCATCGAGGGGAGCCACAAATTCTTGGCACGCATAGATGTACAAAGATTCAAATTTTGTTGTGAGTTCACTGACGAATCTATCTATAACACAAGAAGACTTTACTAGAATCACATTAAATTAGCAGTAAATAGCCTTGTACACAATCGTGTAAATAGAAGAAACGAAGAGGATTCTTAATTAGGATACATTTGACCATAGCTGGTAGCAAAAGAGCAGGACAAAATTGATAGTTAAAAACATGGCAGCATTTTGAAGTTGTAGTATCGACTTTTTTGGTTATTTTTAACTTTAACGGGCTAATAAAAAATAGAAAAAGTAGTGATTTTGTACTGAACGAAATCGATCAAGTAGATCTTGAGATATCGTGGAAGCCAATTCAGAAAAGATAGTTTCGAGAAAATTTAAATAGAAGGATCTGACCTGTCAAACACATATAGCTCGATCGAGCAATTTCGTTAATTTTAGGATTTGGTTGATATGTTTTTGCCCATATATGCCCAAGACTATATCTTCAAGAAAGTGGAAAATGAAAAAATCGAATTTTGCGACGGTTTACAGTATAGGACTCCCTTAAGAGGGGAAATCCTGGTGAGTACCGGTGGTCACCGTGTATAAAGAAACGTCTGCTCGTATCGTGGAACATGTGTCCGCGCGAGGAAGCGTTCGAACGATCGTAGAACGTACCTCGAGCGTAGACGAGGCATCCGGGGGCCCCACCACGTGCACCGCTATCAGAGTCAGACGAACCGATAGACAGGAAAACGGGCACGTAGTCGGACGCAAGAAAGCCGGGAGTTAGTGGAGCGATCTTGGTTCAGTTACGAACCCCACCTAAAACCCCTTCACCTTCATCGAGCGTGGTCGACGCGAGGGGGGAACTTGAACGTCACTTTTCCAGGCCTCGGGAGCTCATTATTAACGCGGCGCCTTCCAAACATCCGGAGATATTACCACCTACCCGAGTGTTGCTACCACCTACCACCTACTACCCGACACTCTCTGCCACCACTCCAGCGGGCCGCGTACGTCTCGTTCTGAAAAGGAGGTGAACGCGCGCGAGAGTGTATCATTGGACAAGGAATTGGGGCAGGAGCCAATAGTAAGGAGCGCGAGGTGGAGCGATAGGTTTTAAATAGGTGTACAAGAGCATACCGCGGATTACGACTAGCCGGGTAACACCGACACGCGTGCCACCGAACGGATTTTCGGGATTAACAAGTGACCTCGCGCGGGCACGTCGTCGTCCTCGTCGTCGTGGTAGTTCTCTCCCTGGGGATACCGGCGACGGTGTGAAACCCAACGTGAGAGAAGTGACAGTCCAGATAGAGTGGCGGGCACAAAGAACGTCTCAGTCGGCGCTGAGCCATTGCCTCAGCAAGTCTCACCAGAAGTCGGAGATCTAGTTCGAGAGTTTCGACCCGAGTTCGACCATGAGGACGCACGCCGGAAGCACCACGCTCGTCCTCGCGACGATCCTCTCATCCGCGTGCATCACGATCGCCATACGCGTCACGCAGACCGCCGGTAGGAAGAACGGTGAGTCATCTTCTTGCTCTCTTCTACCGTCCTCCTCTATCCTCGTGGATCTCGTCAGCTTCTCGTTTCCCTTTCCTCGTTCGTCCGGCACCATTTATCCTTCCTCGTTTCACGGTCTTCGACCTTCTCGTGCTCCTCTTCTTCTTCTTCTTCCTGGTTCTTCGACAGTCCCGTTCTGCTTTCTTGTTCTTTTCCTGTATCGCATCGCTCCTCCAAGCACGCGCGTCCGCGTCCGCGACTCTTTCTCTCCTCACGATCGCGAGCGTGGATATATTTCTGCGAGTGAAGTGTGCCCTGACCTGTGCAAAAAAAAAACACCTATCGACGAAACCAGTGAAACACGGTGCATATGTCCCGATAGATTTCCAGAGATATCGGGGAATCGTCGTTTTTTCCCAAGTTCCTCGAGTATTCTCGTAACTTTTCGAGGACGACTCTAACCTGATAAATGTCAAAGTAAATGTCAAACGAGGTTGTTGTCTTCCGCGCGGCTAAGGAATCGGTTTCACTCGGCACTACGTGTGTCGCGCGACCGGTGTTCCATTTCTCACGCATCGAAGTGTCCTCCCGGGTATTGTCACGCGTCTCTCGCGAGCACTTCCGTTTCGTATCGCGATGCAACCGCTGCGAGGACGCTCGATGTCGCGAGTGACTGGTCGCGTGGAAAGCGACCAAGTCCCCGGCGAGCAACGTACGAATACGCTGGACGATCGACAGTGCTCGTCCGTGAACCGCGCTAGGGTCCAGACGGAAGCCGCTTCTCTGACGGGAAATCAGAAACGGTGCGCGTACTGTGCGAAATTGCACCGTTAGATTCGACACTGCGGTCGCGTACATCGCGTACGGTATTTGGGTCGTCCAAGGAATTGAGTCATTATCGTTTCCCGTCGATTCGATCGATACCGGACGAAACGTCTATCTTCCCGCGCTACGTTTCTCCGGCTTGGAATTTCTCGCGCCACGCAATGACTGTCAACTGTGAAAACTTTCGATTGTGCACTTGTTTCCACGCGAATTTCGCGTGTCAATTAATTATTTTACTGACAGACTTTTCACTGTGTAAAAAAATCCTCGAGCGGAGACGTTGAAGGAAGTAAATTTTAGTACATGTTACAAAAATGTACAATTGCCTGGAATAAAAATTCTGTTTTTGTGGAACATCGTACGATTTTAGTCTGACACACAACCGTTTCTTATGAGGCTTCTGTCTTGAGTTGTTGGTCCCTGAAAATATACGATAAAATAAAATTATCGTTCAATATATCCTCTATTAGAGAACAGTAGAACTATCGACAATTATGGTGTATTTATTTGCACCAAAAAAATTAAAATAATAGACACTTGAAGAAACATATAATGCAATCTATTAAATGTTTATTCATTCCCTTATAGAAAACTACAGTAAATTTTGAAAAATCCAGTCGAGTGAATATTTAGGCATTCTCATTAGTAAGGCAGTAATTACAGGAACTGTTTTCGCGAATCACATCACAAGTTATTCCTATTGTAAGTAATACTCATCAAAGTAATACATTGCATAGTTAAAATAGCTTTCTATTAACTTACTTTTATTCTAATTCTATCTTTATTAAATAGGATATATTGTTGGAAAAAATATGCTTGATCGACGGAAAGGTGTGTTGATAGGATCATTAATTTAATTGGTACATTTAATACCGGAAAATATACTAGAATTTCTTTATTATTATATGCAATAAATTTGATTTGTCTATATCATCTGTATGTGATACAAAAATAGAAATGTTTACAAATAACAAATATATGCTAGAAAAATCAGAAACTTTACAAGAGATAATCAAACTTCGATCTCTATTGTATTTCGTTTTGTTGAAGCTACACTTCACTGAACCTTCGTTATATATGTTAACAGAATAGTTTCGTAATAATTTCTACTATTTTTACTAAATTACGTGAAGTGTAACTGAGAAGTCTAAAAAAGTTGATAGCGTGTACTTGTTAAAGCTTCAATTAGATTAAACTTGAAGCACGTATATTCCATTTTTCTTCAATTTTGATTAATTAGTTCATTAAGTTGTCACGTAAAATTGGAGACGTAAAATATTAATGGTTATATAATTGAAGGTTACGTGATTGCTTTTCATAGCTAATAATTTGATCGCAAGAAAAGTGTATTTTACATGATCGTAAAGAACAAGATTCAATCAAAAGAGAAGTAACAAAAATTGTATGGAAAAATAAGTCACGATAATGTAACGTGCGAAGTTATAGAATAATTATAATTTTTTCTAGCAACTTTTTCTAGTTGCTCCAGCTAGACTCCCTTAGAGAACTATTCCCACGCCTGGATTTTTATCAGTCGAATATTTATGTAAATTCATTGTTCATATTGCTTTCTCGATACCAGCCACATATGTACTATTATTTCTAATTGGTAGTCCGCGGAGAATACAAAGCGTATCGATCAATTTGCCTCTGAACTTTCCTTTAACACTCGTAGTTAATCCAATATTCATATTTCTACAATGCGAAGATTTCACTTCCGGGTCAATAATTTACTTTTTACAATATCCAATTAGGGAGTCTAATTGCTACCTTGTAGCGATAAAAACCTCTTTTCCTCCTAACAAGGAAAGTTCACGAACGGAGAAATTTAGAAAATTTTGTAACTTTGTCCGCAAGTAGTTCATCTCTAACAAATACTTTTTTCCAAGGGCAAAAACAATAATTTTTATGGAAAAATAGGGTAATATGGATAATATTAGTGTAATTGCTGTGAGCAATGAACAAAAATTTTGGTGACTTACAATCGGTACTTGTAGTCAAAACATTTTACTCGAGAAAGTAATTCTTATTGTATAATTCTTTTTTATTTTGATCATGACAGGACTATTTTTTATCACTACTATAATACGGTTTAAGATTGTAAAATCAAATTACATTATTTTTTGCATAAATTGCAGGTAATTTTAAATTACTTTGACCAAAGACTATAAGTATTTATAATTAGATCATTTCCAAAGGTATTGAAACTAATCAACGTCGTAATTAGTAACTTCTATAGAATAAATATTGATTAATCGGGGCGTTGTTTTACAAGTCATGAGTAGAACATTGTAAACACACTAATGCCAATAACTTTGTGAAACTTTCCAATTACATAATGCAAACGCGTTTAACGATTGGGCATTATTATTATCCACCGGGAATAACCAGTTACAATATCGTAATATTTTACGATTAATCTAAATTAAATTAAGCAATTATAACTTTTTATGTGTATATATGCGTTATAATTGAATAAATTTTATTTTATATATAATTTATTAGAATACATTAATATTTTATTACCAATACTTAACGATTATGGTCAGCATTATCTATAACGGAATGTTCCACAAGGTTATCAGTACCAGGTGCTTACAATATCCTGTTTATCGCGTGGTTTGCAAAATGATCTAATAAGATAATGCTTCAAGTAATGTAAGCGCGTTATTGTTAGTGTCATTCATGCCATTGATTGATTTTATCCAGCCTTATCTCTATCGCGCTAACTTTATCAAGATTTGTTAATATGTAAATAAAAAATGTGCCACGAACTGAAACGAATACGGTCGATCCGCTACGAAGTACAGTCGCGAAAGTACTTAGTATTAATGAATGCAACCATTTTAGAGAACGTTAGCTTGCTGCTAATGAATCGACTTGAATGGTCTAAACTCTGAATTCAAAGACTACCGACTCGTGGTTGCATCAAAGGCCAGATTTGCTGGGTCAGCCTTACTGACGAATTCACCAGCAGAACCTGGAAGAAACGCCATTTAATTTTCGTAACATTTCCATTTTGATATTTAGAAAAACTCGAAAGTCGTATTGAAATTTATGCTCTTAATTCCTTTTAATTCTTTGACTTGTTCTTTAATTGAGAAGCCTTGGATTAATGGACCTTTTTGGTAAATAAAAATGGAAACTGAATCTAGTATAACATTTTCAATGCCCCATATGATATTTTATTACGTGACAATTATTTCTCGCTGTTGCACACTGTACTATGAGCCTAGAGAGGTTAAGAACCACTGTCTCAATTCATCCGTAAAGAAACGCGCACGTGATCGCGAAATCTAGCAAACGTTAGGACAGTATCTCTCAACTTCCTTATCTCGTGACCATCTACTCAGTTTTATTTATCTATGTTCTCCCTACTTTTCATGATTGCTATTAGTTGATACAAATAATTATAGAACAAAGCATACTAACTCCAAATATTTAATAAAATACAATAATACAGAACTCAAACGATTCTTCAACTCCAATTACAATTGTTCCTGAGGAAGACCTAAAGACAATAACTTTGACAATTGGTTGGCAACTTAGATCTTTGAAATATAAAAGTTTATTTCTTCAAAACAATATTTTTAATTCCATGTATACAGAGCGAAGAAAAAATTTAATTTCATCCTAAATTATATGCAGTGTCATAATATTTGGCTTTTTCTCATTTTTATATTTTTCTAAATGCTCGTGTGGATAACAAATAATAGATAAAGGACTTTGACTTACTATTTGAAGAACAAAGTTACAATCAGAATTATAATACAATTATTTGTATTTCACGTTGAACAAATAAACCGTGTACACAGAGTTCCTATTTGTCAGCCATTGTCCGAATATAATAACGATGCTTAGGTACGATCCCCGTTGAGAATCCCTGCGTTAGATGATCACCGTCCATAGGAGTAATTACTGTAATTATAGCAAGCGCGATTAATCGTTATAGACATAACGATTATTACTCTTGGTTCTCTAATTTCTCTAATTTCTGGCGATCGTGGTGTCCGTTAATGTCGTTTACCGAAACTTTTCAAAAGCAGCGGCTGATTGGAAAAGCGTAACGACACCGTTGCATAATCGCGGAGCCAAGAGCTATTAATTGGAAGCGAACGCGCGCCGCGTATATTTATGAAAAATTCATAGACAAGGCGAGACATAAATCAGACCGTCAGTATCTCTGCCGTCTCGTT